CTTGACCAAATAAAAAAAATAGGACTTTCGCATAACATTAAACTAGAATGTATATCTTGCGATTGGAGTTATAATTTTTACTCATCTCCTGCAATAAAAAATAAACACATTCAAGAAGTCAATGTACGTGCTGTAATGAGTTTTTGCGAAATTGGTTGTGGACATAAAGCTTTAAAGACATTTGCTAGATGTATGAATATGCCACCTCCAATGACTTTTAATTCATATAAAAACATTAATAATCTTTTACATAATGTTTATGACTCTGCTTCATCTAAATGTATGAAAAAAGCTGCAGACGAGATTAGAACTTCTGCAAATACTGGTGCTTCAATACATCAACTTCCAGTTGATTGTGATATCAGCTTAGATGGAACATGGCAGAAGCGAGGATATTCTTCTTTAAATGGTGTTGTTTCAGCTATCTCCAAAGACAATAAAAAAGTTTTAGATGTATATGTTATGTCTAAGTTCTGTAAGATTTGTACTGTCTGTAAGAAAAAAAAAATACTCTTGAATATGAACATTGGAAAGCAAATCACTGTTGTGATATTAACCACTCAAAATCGTCCGGAGCAATGGAATCCGCTGGAGCTATAGAAATATTTCACTCATCAGTTGAAAAATATGGTTTAAGATACGCACACTACATAGGTGATGGAGATACTGCCTCATTTAATGATGTAGTACAGTCTAAACCATATGGTGATGAGTTGATTCCCATTAAATGGGAATGTATTGGCCACATTCAAAAGCGCCTTAGGGCACGCCTGCGCAACAAAAGAAAAGAGTTAAAAGGTAAATTGCTCTCTGATGGAAAAAAAATTAATGGTAGGGGTAGGTTAACAGATTTAGCAATTAACACTTTGCAAAACTTTTATGGGATGGCCATAAGACAGAATAAAGAACTACCCCTAATGAGGCGTGCAGTTGGTGCAGTTTTATATCATTGTTCTGACATAAATTCTGAAAGTCCCATTTGTTTTGCCCTCGAACAACAAAGAGCTGGTGTAAATGGCAAAAAGATAAACTTGAAGGTACAAATACCTACAAAGCACATTTAAATTTGTCTCTGGCTATAAAAAAAGAAATTGAAGGCATCTTTAAAGATCTTGGCTCTGAAGATCTTCTGAAAAAGTGTTTACATGGGTTAACCCAAAACCCAAATGAAGCTTTAAACCAATTAATTTGGAATAAGTGCCCAAAGTCTCGTTTTGTGTCAAGAACTGTTTTAGAGATAGGAGTATATTCTGCTATCATAAATTATAATGAAGGTGTTATAGAACTTAATCATGTATTTAAACTATTAAATTTGATTCCTGGGAAGTACTTTTTTTTTATGCAACAAAAAAGGACAGTACTCGTGTCAAACAAGTTAATAGTAAAATGAGCGAAAAAAAGAAAAAACAGAGGAAAAGTATGAGTGCATTTAAAAAAGGATTCTTTGACAAAGAAAAAGAGACAGAGGGTGAAACTTATAGTTCTGGGGCACACTAGTTTCATGTTTGTATACTATTTATTTCATTTTTAATTTTGTTTTTCATTTTTCTCAGAAATAAGTTTTTGTTACGTTCACTTAAATTCAAACAACAGTTTTTAGTACTTCTGTTTAACCGATTGACTTGAAATTTTCACAGACTTTTCTTTAATATTGGAACTAGGTTCTGAACTAAAAACAACTATTTAGAACAAATGTATCTTGTATAATCGCACTTTGATTTGCTAAAATGACCTTATTTTTCAATGCTCAAAAATAATTGGCAGCCATTATGGATTGGTACATTTTCAAATTTTGATTTTAGATCAGAACCTTCTATACTACTTTACCTTTATGCTGTCAAAATTTGGTTCAAATATTATTTACAGATTTTGAGAAACTAATGTTTAAAATTTGATACTTTTTTTTGATACTCAAATTTTTTTTTTCATTAAATATATCAACAGTAAACTTAGTGCAAAGACATTTTTTTTAATTTTTAAAGAATTTAGAAAAAAAGGGGTAGAGCCATCTTAACGATCTACTTATTTAACGTGACTTACTAAGTTAAATAAGTATCCGTAAACTAACGCATGCGCAGAATATCATTTTGTCTAATTTAACGATCTACTTAAGGTGACACCGTTTTTAGATCTTGAGGTAAGTTGAAAATTTTTCTCGCTTACACTAATAAAAATCAAAAACGCTTGATCTCATCGCCTAATATAATCGAGTCGAAAAACACGAAAAAAATCAAAGCAAATCCATGTATACTTTATTCAGTTGTTCATAAACTATATCACACAAAGCAGCTATCAATATCTGATTATTACAATAATATATTAAAATATGAGAAATATTTATTTTACTACTAATTGCTAATGATTAACTGTTTTTTTGGCGCAGCATTTTAATAATTAATGGTTACTTGGAATATTATTAAAACAGTGCTTCAATAACTTTAAAAGTAAAACCGCTAATGGAGAAAGTAAGTGTTACAGGCTTTCCAAAGATGACGTTTTATAAAAAAATATATAAGATTTACAAACAAACTGAATGAATTGGAATGAATTCATTCATGAATTGAATGAGATGGACATACTACGTAGGAATATTTTGAATCATGGATCGTAGAGTTATTCAATGCTCTACTCCAGACAGGATTAAACAAAATATATGTAGTGGAACAATACAATTACCATGAACACAATTTTTAAATGACTGAAGCTAAAATAAAAAATCAAATAATTAAAAGCTTGTAAGAAGCTTTACATACAAGTAAAATTTATCCACAAGTAAACCAAGTAAACAACAGCTAAGTTCTAGTTTTCTACTAAGAACGACCCGATGTTTATGTAAATCTTCAAATAAAACTAAACAAAACAAACAATTATATATTAAAAATTCCTAAGTTAACTTAAAGGATGTTGCACAAAATAAACTAAAGTTTAAGTACACAAATTTTAAAATACAAATGGACATATTAGTAAACACAAATGGAAAATTTGAAGTAAAAATGTTTCATTTCATAACATAATATGAACATATACAGAAATCAATTTATTTTTTTTAATAATTATGTTTACTAACTATGCAGCTATATATCCTACATTATTTTGTTGCACCAGACTGTCACCTTATTGAAAACTAAGTTTTTAAATGTATAACGAGGAAATTACTCTTCAGTTTTTCAGTCTTTGACCAGATATAAATTTTGGTATTACATGATTTACTAAATAATTTGATATACTTGATAAAAATGCAGTATTTATATTAATACATAGTTGTTTATGATAAGCCTGCACATAGAGTTAAGGCTTCTTGAACTGTTCAATGGACAATATTTTCATGTGTTCAATTTTTAAAATATTTAGAGACGAGACTATATGGACTTGGTCTGAAGCAAGCAGCTTACAAAGATAAAAAAGGAAATACAAACATGGATATAAATATGAAATAACTTTGCTTATGGAGTGCTTCATATGCTTCATAGCTTTAATCATTAGAATGATAAAAACAATTGCTGATTTCATATATATATATATATATATATATATATATATATATATATATATATATATATATATATATATATATATATATATATATATATATATATATATATATACACACATATATATATATATACACACATATATATATATATATATATACACACACATATATATATATACACACACATATATATATACACACACATATATATACACACACACATATATATATATATATATACATATATATATATATATATATATATATATATATATATATATATATATATATATATATATATATATATATACACACACACATACATATATATATACTAACAGGATATACATATATATAATGATAACAGGAGAGCATTAAAAAACTTTCTTTTAATTCCTTAAGCTTTATCATTTCTAGTACTAGAAAATATACTTAAATATTCAAATAAATAATCTTAACTAAATAACTAAATTCCTAACTTAACTATAGTTTAAGTTAGGAATTTTTTAATTTTTGCTAAATCTGATATAGTATTTTTCAAATTGGCTTTATAGTATAATTTTTAATAGATCTTTGTGTGTATATTGATTATTTATTTGAATATTTTGTCATTATTTTAATGTTAAATTTAAAATTTGAGCCTTCTGGGTCATACCTGAATCTTTAACTATCCATCATCGAAGATTGATATCCTTGATCTACAGAGAGTACCAAATATGTATTTCTTAAAATCGGAAATGGTACAGAAACTTTTTGTTTTTTCATTTATGTATTACATGTGTGCAAATTACAATTTTTTATCACTGATAAAGAATTTAGTTTATAATATCAGACTTTGTGGTCTATTAATTTATGATTTATAAGCCCTTTTTAAACAGACTAATAAAATCCGTTGAAAGTTTTCTATATTATTAATTATTTTCAAAAAATCTTTTTTTAAAGGATATTAGGTAACAATAAATAAATAAATAGTTATAATTATATAAATTTTTATATTTATCTTTGTTTTACTGTACTATAATACTTTCTACATTACAGCTTTTAAACGTAAACAAACGCGATATTAAATTTTGTCCCTACAGCTCAAATATTAGTGCCCAGACCTTCCCGTATGAAACTTGCTAATTACTTTAGATTCTGTTAAAGTTTGCAGGATCAAGATTATCTTTAGTTAACAGGGACTCTGAAATAATTTAGAGGGAAAGAAAAAGCTACAAAATTGCTATCAAACATAAGAAATCTTAGTTATGAAAACCGCCTCAAAGCTCTAAATTCAAAATTTTTAAGAACCTACTTAAAAGATAAATATATAAACACAGATTTTTTTATTCAAACAGTATCCAAATAGGTGGAAGTCATTACCAAAAAAATTAGTGCGTCACCGGATAACAGTTTAAAAGCAGATTTTGAATAAAAGAACACCAAGTAATTAACTTGGTTGCAGATTTTGATAATAACTTGCTAATTAAAGTGTAATGGTTTCACATTTTACATAAATGATAAATAATTTCTAAATATAATTGATAGATCTTTACCGTTCAACATTAAATTTACAGAAAAAAAAAAAGAAAAAATCTAGTATTTATATTTATATAAAAGAAAAAAAAAAGAAGCTCAAACACTAATTGTTTTAAAAATGTTAAATCCACTTAATGCTGTACTCGCTAAAACTCCAGGAAGTTGCCGGTGCCAATGAAGTTCCTTAATATCTTTTTGACCCTAGAAAATAAAAATTCATACAACGTAAGTGTATATTGCATTACCGATGGGCTTTAATTATTTCAAACTATTTTTTAAATATTTTAACTATGATTTATTATTTAATAAAAATTGTATTATGGTTAAGTAAATATTTGCTTAATAAAGCTTTTCTAAAATAAAGACAATTCATGTTAGGGGTGCCATTGTTTGTAATTGTTTACTCTCATGTCGCCAACATAAAAGCCCTATCTTAAACCTAAGTAATCTGAAAATCTCATAGACAAAACCATTAACTATAGTCTTAATAATTGAAAACAGTCACAATATAATTTCATATACAAAAAGGTAGACAAGAAGAAAAACTATTTGAGAAATCATTTCAGAAACCACTCCTTTAAAATTCAAAACTTGCAAATTTAAACATCCTACAATCTAAACGGACTTAATGTAAATTCTGAAAAAATACAGTAATTATTTTTTTAAATTTATTTTTAGTTTTCTTTTTCCTTCCTTGAATAGATTGATTAGTCATATACAACATAATCCAAAAGCGATGAGCAAAAGTGTATTTAAAAAATCATGTAAAAAGAAATTTTAGATTTAAAAAATTTTAATTACAACACATTTATTATAAAATTAATATTAATTTTATTATAAATATGTTGTTAAACTGCATGCTAAAATAACATAAAAAGATTTTACTACACATTGAATTATAAAAAAAAAATTCTTACCATATGTATAAAAAGAAGTTGTGGCGGAAGTGTAACATTCTCAGCTTGATGTTCTTCATCTCGCTCAACTGATAAATCCCATAAAGTAATTTGATCATCATCAGATGAGGCGGCAAACACAGTGCTATCAGAATGATGCCATTCAACTGATGTAATAGGAGCACTGTGATGTTTAAAAGTAGCTACAGGAATGCCTTGTTGAAACCGACGTAAGTCCCATACATTTATTATGCCATCATCTCCGCCAGAAACAATAAATGGGTCATTTCTATGAAACAAAAAAACTTAGTTTATTTATTTAAAATTAATATAAAAATCATTATATTATTGCAAAAAATTTATAATTATAACTTTTATATTACAATTTTAGTAAAAACTTATTAAAAATAATTATAGTAAATTACTCGCTCTCTTTCTCTACGTGTGTGTGCGTGTGTGTGTGTGTGTGCGTGCGCGCGTGTGTGTGTGTGTGTGTGTGTGTGTGTGTGTGTGTGTGTGTGTGTGTGTGTGTGTGTGTGTGTGTGTGTGTGTGTATAATATCAACTATACTAAAATTAATAATATAATAATATAATGATATATTAAATATATAATATATAAAAAACAGTCATTAAAAAATTTACATCTGTCAATTATTTTTTAGAAAAACAAACTAAAACTGGTTAGTGAATTTTTAAAAACTGATTATATGAATCAAAATTGTCAGCAAATATTTTTTTCAGCAAAATAAATTATTGAGAATCATTTAAATGTAGATTTACTTGTTCCACGAAATAACATTTACATCAGCATCATGTGCCTTAACTGTTAGCATGCATGCCTTATCACCTACACCACGTGAGTCCCAAATTTTAATGGTTTTGTCAGCAGAGCACGAGCTAAACACCTATTAAAAATTTTTATCAGATAAATTCTTATCTTTATTTCTTATTATTTTTATCATTAAAATGATAAATAACTTATAACTTACATTAGATAATAGTTCAACCTATAAATATATAATCAACCTACATTAGATTCATTTGGACTCCATTGGATGTCTTCAACAGATGCTGTATGTGACGTTAGAGGTCTTTGATCAACATGCCAACTAGATTCTGTGGGACTCCATAAATGAATACGATTATTGCATGAACCAGTTGCAAGTCTAAAATTAAAATTATTTGAATTAATAAACTTGAATGCATTAAACTTGTAACAAATTTTTTTGATTGGATAGAACATTAGTAACATTAGTGGTAGAAAAACCTTTTATAGATAACTTATATTTAAATAAACTTAAACAAATTTGAAGTTAAAAATTAGATTTAATAACTTTTCTTAACACTCTAAAACTATGAAACTGTTTTGGCACTGGCAGATTTAGAAAGGAAACATACGCCTAGTACCATCTAGTACTATCTACAAGCAATTTTAGACAAATGTGATTTTTAAATAAATTGAAAAAGAACAATGTTATGTTAATGTAGAAACCTAGGTAAATTTATATAACTGTAAATGACTACTAGTAGATTACTAGAAGGGTGGATTTGAACTTCAGACCTCTTTATTTAGCCTAACATTCTACTACTAATCTACTATCACAATTCAAATCTACTTTAGAGATGAAATAGTCTAAATAATAAAATTTGTAAATATTAACTAAGGAAGAGTTAAGATAAAAAATTGTTTTATTTTACTTTCAAATTTAGAATTATTTGGCAAATACCACTCAAGAGAATGGGTAAAATGTTAGAGATAGAGGGGGTTCTAATTATCAAAAATTTATGTGGATTTATGTTTCAAAATAAGATTCTCATAAATAAATAGTAACTTCTCAATTGTTTTTCATAATTTTTATTTTGATTGTCAAGAAAAACTTTAAAACTGTTTTAGAAATGAAAAGAACAGAAAAACTGCAAATATTTGTATAAATGAAAATTGATTCTTAAACTCAATTTGAAATTTTTTAATTCATAAGAAATCATAATTTTTTTTTTTTTTGCTTAATGCTTCAGATATGACATATTTACTGTAATAAAATTTATCAACTTAGTCAGAAATAAAACCCATGTTCATTTATTTTTTTAAATCAGTTTTATTTATTTACATTTAGAGTTTTAAACAAAATGATAAATCAACAAATAAAGACCAAGTAAAAATTATTTATAGACAATGCATTGTGCTGGTTTGACAAGGTTCTAACCAAAATTTTTAACTTTGGAAGAATTTAGCAAACAAATCTTTTTTTTTTAAATGTCTTACTAAAACTTTTTTTTTTCATTATTTTTTAATTATGTGTTTTGTTTAAAAACACATTAATAAATAAAAAAATAAATAAAAAATGATATAAACAATTTTAATAACACGTTTACAAAAACAATAGAGATTTGTTTTCTAAATTTTCCCAAGATTAGAAATTTCACTTAAAACCTTGTCAAACCAAAACGACGAATTGCAAAGGTAAAATGTGTGGTAAATAAAAAAGCATTATATTTGTTATGAGATTATGAAATCAAAACCTCCTTAGTGTGCCATAGTACATATGTGTGTAGTACGCATTATATATTTAAGAGAATAAATATATATTTATGAATTAGATACCAACAATAGTAGTAAACAATGTTGGTGGGAAAATTAAATCTTAAAGACTAAATATCTTATTATGAAAACATCCTAGCCAATCTTACCGACCAACAACAGTGGGAGACCAATCCATAGCAAACCCTTCTTTCTTAAAAAAATAAAAAATAAAATTATGAACACTTATAAGTTATTGAAGTTTTTAATTATACTTTTTTTAACAACTTTTATGTAAGCATTTACCTGGTGACCCGAAAAGGAAAACAGAGGTTTTTTATTAGCAATACTTTGGTGCTGTGATAAACCATTTATATCAAGACTATTGAGTTCTTCTGTTAGATCCCATATATGTACTGTGGCAGATGATGACCATGAAGCAGCCAAGTGCCTTTCCACTGCAAATATATACTATAAGTCAATAAAAACATCTAGTTATTTTGTGATGTTAGTTTAAGACAATAACTATATATAATCTATCAAATTTTTTTTTTCAACTTTAAACTTAGAAAAATTTTTTTACTTATTTTTATTGCTTTGATTGTGTATTTTTCATAAAAAATCATATAAAAATATGTTGCTACTTGACAGAAAAAAATTAGTTTATCAGCTTTAAAATACTGACATGCATTCCAGCAAAGAAGATAAAAATTGATAAAGTAAAGAAATATACTTTTTTTCAATAAACACATCCATTTTCATACTAATATTTATAATAAGATTAAAACCTAACAGTTTAATTTAATTTTATTAGATTTTCATATATTTATACATTATACTGATTTTGCTCAAAACCTGTTTTTGAGAAAAGTAAAAAAAACTCTTTATATCATTTAATATTTAAAAAAAATTTGTGTAATATATTTTAAAAAAAAATTGTGTAATATATTTAAAAAAAATTTGTGTAATATGTTTTTAAAAAATGCAAGAGTAACATCTTTGTACACTTTGATAATTGTTATAACACTTTGTTTGTTAATAATTAATGTATGAAATTTTGAAAAATTTGGCCTTTTAAAATAGTATATTTCAGGAAGGAAAACAAATTAAAACTCCGCAAGAACTACAACTATGTGCTTTAAAACAATGTTTTAACGTGCTAGTAATAAATATAATATATATATATATATATATATATATATATATATATATATATATATATATATATATATATATATATATATATATATATGAATTAATAACTAAAATAACTATCAGTAAGCATTAAGTCTCAAGATATTAATCTATTTCTTCCTCAAAGTCACTATCAGGGAGATTCTCACATTCATTAGCTATAAAAATTGTTGAACTTTTCAGGAATGAATTCTTTTAATTTGTTAAGGTCCTCCACCTTCGCTTTTTTCAGTGTAACTTGGATAAGCTAAACTATCCACCTGTGGTACAGTACCCGTATGTTTGGACATAAAAAAAGTATGACTGACCAAACCATTAATATTGGTGAATGCCTTAATGTAGCCTTTTTATCATGCTCATATACAAAATGAAACAAGTTACTAATTGAAAAGTGAACCTTCTTTTCTTTTGGGGTATTTTTACACTTGGTTTCTGAAGAAATGCAAGATTTTTTGTAATGTTTTGGGCTTCAAGCTTTAAAATCAAAAAATTCAGTAGCATGAACAATTTCTGTCACTGTAAACTTTTGTGATCTGGAGCTGCTAATAATAAGTTCGGTGAGTTGATGCATGTGATAAAAATGGTCATGTGTTTTTAAAACACTTGAAATTATACCAAAGTCCCTATCGCAAGGGAGGAAACGATGCCCTCTCATTGGGAAGAACTGCTCCACTTTATCAAACCTACCACTGTCAGTTAAGTATGAACAAAAATGTGATAAGGTTTGATTTTTATTTTATCCACTACAATTGTCACAAAACAAACATAATGTATTATACTTTGGTGGAACTGAGATCAAATAATCATTTTAAAAAGTCGCAACTTCATAAAGCCCTTTCTTTCCTTGACCTTCATGGTATATATATACATGACTTTTTTTCTTCTTTAATGTTATGTATAGAAAAAAACATTGACTGATAGCTGTCTCATGAAATAAAGTTGTTAGACAGGTATTTTTGGCAAACTTATCATCTTCATATAGTCAAATGCCTATTATAGAACGTGCTCCTCTTTTAAGCCATCTGATATTTCTTGTTAAATTAAAGCATTGTTAAAATTTTTTACTCCTGCGCTTATGAACATCTAAATCAGTCTGTGCTACTCTTTAAGCTACATCATTGAGATGTAGTGATTTCAATCTAAAATTTAATTCTTCGCACATGCAACAAGTGTCCACTTGTGGGCGCCCAAACCAAAAGTTAAAATTTGTTTTAAAATGGTTGCAGTAAAAAGACTTGCTCACTTTTAAATCTGGATTTTTTTCACAAAAAAGTTGCCACATTGTTTTTACATTTAAACTTGGATTGAGGTAATATACTTTTTTGCCTGAGTAATGTGATTCCTTGAGTGGATACTTTAAACTTATGCTTTCATGAAATTTGATTTTTTCAAAATTTTATAGTATTTTTTATTAGTATAACTTTGTTTAAACATAAGACTTATGTAAACATTAATATATATATATATTATATATATCAATATATACACTTACTAAAGCGTGATTTGATAAGCATTTGCTCACTTTTTCTGCTTACCTTAAGCTATACCGTTTTTTCATCGAAGAAGAAAAAACAAAGAATGATGAATAAAACGATTGCTTTTTCATCCCAAACCCTCAGTCGATGTAGTAGCACTCCACTGCGAGTCAGGCTATTTGTCAGTCGATGTATGTACTGAAGCCCCCAGTAGCAGGCTATTTCAGTATGACATCAGATTGCTTACCTTAGTACGCAATACTACTTGTATATATATATATATATATATATATATATATATATATATATATATATATATATATATATATATATACATTATTTTGTTATGTTTGTACCATGCAATTCTGACTTTCTTTTTTCCAACAGATTTCCTTGATGGCAACATTTCTTCAATATTTGTTGGCACATTTATTGTAGGCAGCGGATTCCAATAATGATGCTTTTGCAGCTTTTTTATCTCTATACGCTTTAGAATTTCTTTTCTATTTTTTGCAAAATTCACATTGATCTCTTTTTGACAGTTCAGAAATTGGCTTGTTCAGTTGTTTAATCTTTTTGTCTGTGTTTTTCAAGTTTATCTGCTGATAGATTAGCTCTTTCTTTTCTCTTTCTAGGACTTGGAATAATGAGATCCATTAAAAATCTTATAACAACAACATACAAGAAACTAAAAATACGAATCAGTTGGAGAAAGATTTTTTTAAAATTTGAAGCAATTTCACCTTTTTAAAAAAAATCAAAAACTTTCAGGTGGCTTTATTTGTGTAAGAAGATGAAATTTAAACACATTTTTAACATAAACTGATGAAGCTATCATAGAAGAACACAAAACAAACAAAACGTAAATTTCAAAAAAAATGTCAAATCAGCCCTTTTAAAAAATATTAATTCAAATAATAGCTTCAATTTTTATTTTATTTTCTATTCTAATTTACTCCCAACAAGGCTGTAATCAACCACTATCAAGTTAGGAGTTACTAGAAAATGAGTCAGGAAAACATGAAGATGAAAAAGAGTTCCAAAGAGTTGAAGTGCAGGGAAAAAAACTAGAATGAAAGTTTTTAGAGCATGCAAAGACAGATACAGTAAACAAATGAGACTTCGTTTAATGACAAGTCAAACAAGAATGAGTTTTAGTTAATAGAACTAGAGATGATAGCTCCTTTGAGCAGCGACCATGATAGTATTTGTAGAAAAGAGAAAGAGATGCATCTTTACAACAATGAGAAAGGGCTCAAGGTTCTATTTCTAGTACATTTAAATCAGTCGGCCAGTCTATATCATTGTAAAGACTCTCAATAAACAAACAAAAAAAAAAAACATTTATAACTTTGTTTATTATCTTCATATCGTTGCAATTCATTAGTTGTTTTAAAGCAATACTCCAAAATAATGACAATGATTAACAGAAATTGATTTTTTCCATATCATTTTAACATTTTTAATTTGCTGAAACACTTAAAAAATAACTTATATTTTTTTATTTTATATAAATCTTTATTTAAAATTGATTAGCATTTCAAATAATGAATTGTACTATTTTCTCTATTACTAAAAATGTAAGAAGTGTAGCAGAACTAGAGTGTAGGCAAATAAACACTGTTTATTAAACAGATTACTTGCATGTTGAAAATGCAGCTGAGCTGCCAATGTTGCGTGGCAGGTAAAGATAACTGACACCATCACGCAGAATACGAAGGTATTTTTGAATGAAGAATTTTTGGTAAGTTGTTGTGTTAGCGTTATTAAGAGCGAACGGAAATCTATCAGGGTTTTTACTATTAGTGCGGGCTAGTTTATTGGTTATCGGATGGTATGTGTCATTAATACATGCTTTCTCTAATAATTCTTCAATGTTAAAACAAATATTGAAGCACTTCGAATTGGTTGCGCCAATACCAATGACATGCAAGGCATTATTATAGAAATGTTTAATCTCTTTTTTTGCCGCAATACTGCATGACATAAGAACTGGAGCACTATATATTATGTGGCTAATAGCGTAAGACCTGTATACTTGCAGGAGGTTGGATTGCGTGTGACCGATTTGCTTAAGGCGCTTGAGTAGAAATGAAATTGATTTTATAGTGTTGTGCACATTTACCTATTGTTCATCCCAATCGAGATTCTTTTAAAAGAATCTCAATTGGGATTCATTTAACATGATACCGAGGTACTTGTAGCTAGAGACAGTTTCAACCTCAGTCTTATCAAGCACAACAGATGGTAGAAAATGACTTACAGGGCACCTGGAGTTAATTCTAAAAACTTTACATTTTGAGCTATTGAGCTTCATACCATTGGTCAGAGACCAGAGTGCAACACCATCAACGATAGATTGAGGTAAGTTGGCAGAAGCTTTATCGTAGATAATGTAGGTCAGGATGTCATCAGCATATTTTTCTAATATGGTTTTGGCTGGAAGAGGGGTTTATGTCTGAGATAAAAAGAATGAACAAGATAGAGCTTAAGACACTACCCTGAAGTACTCTGGCTTGAATATGTTTCCAATTAGTGGAGTGATCACTTGTTTTTACTCTTTGGCGTCTGTTAGATAAATAAACTGCAATCCAAGATATAAGCCAGCTTGGTAGAATATTTATTAATTTCAGTAGTAGTTTTTTGTAGTCGACAAGGTCAAACGGTTGTGTAAAATCAAAAAATATTGCAAAGATTGATTTGTGATTGTCTTTTGCATGACTCAGTCTTCTATAACTTGAATAATAGCATCCATTGTACTACTGCCTGGGAGGAAACCAAACTGTTTGTTTGAGACCCAGATGTGCTTGGACAATAAATTTGGCGATAATGCGTTCAAAAACTTTGTATAATGTGGATGTAATGACGATGGGACAATAATCATTAGATGAGAGCGGGGTTTTGGTTTTAGGAATTGGTGTTTGTTTGCTGATTTCCATTGATCGGGGAGAAAACTGTTTTCTATGAGGCGGTTAAATAAGATACAAAGTGATGGGGTAATTTCTAAGCAGGAATATTTGAGTAACAGTGGTGAGATATAATCCGGACCACATGATCCAATGAATAACAAATTAAAGTAAACACCCAATTTAGCAAAAGCATTAAGCAGTAAAAGAAAGGTAAAAAAAGCTATACTCTTTTTAATGTCTAAAAATTTTAAATGCTTTTTGTATTTTATATTTTATTTTACTCCTGATGATGACCTATATAAAACAGATTGAAATATTACAAGAGAAAAAAATAGTTTGTACTCTGCTATATATATATATATATATATATATTTTTTTTTTTTTCACCCATAGCTCTTTGAAATAAAACCACAGACATTTCAGATGACTTCAAATAATGTTCATCATCAATTTTTTGAATTCATAGCTGATTAGTTATTACTAGTTTTTTACTTGCATGAACTTGAATTTGAATTCATCATAATTTCTTTTTCAATTTTTTTCATTTAATTTTTGAATTCTGTGAAAACTATTATGATATATTATTGATATATTAAAACATATTAAACTATTAAACTCCGATACTTAGTCTTTTCAGTCGCACACAAAAAACTGTAAAATGATTGTAAAATGTTTTTATCGAGTTAAAAGCTATAAAATAAATACTAATCGTTAAAAATTCACAAATCAGACCCTATTTTTATTTTTGTAAGAAAAACAGCTGCCAAACTTTTTTTTTCAGTCTAACTATTCTTCGCTTTGATCATGTGATCAAACGCGGATTTTGGTGTGGTCACATTTTAGTAAATGTAACTTTTAGTCCCTGTGACCCGTGGTCACAGAGACTGAAAGGGTTAATAACTACTTTTGTAATTGATTTAATAAAAGTTTTTATTTTTATCTTACACTAAACTTTACTATTTAAAACATAAAGATCAAAGAACAAAGCAGACATTAAAATATTTTCATGGTTTCAAAAAAATAATTACTAATAATAGAACTTTTATATTTAACTCAAAATAAAAAAAGTTTTTTTTCATTTTGATAACTATTTGTTGCTATGCATGATGAATGTTGCTATGTATGTATTTAGTATGAAGACTTTTGTTATATAATCATAAAATATAATCATCGAAAAAAATAATAACATTGCTGAAAATAAATTGTTTTAAAATTGAAAATAAAAAAAAATTATTTACTAAAACAAAAATTACCCTGATTCGATTTACACCGCCAATATGTTTTATTGAATAAGTTTGTAAATTTGGCTGCTCATCACTCTCTTCAATATAACTATCTTCAGAATCATCTATATAATATTATTTTCTTAGTCATCATTGAAGAAAAATTTTTAAAAAATATGGCAATATATCATTGATATTAAAAATCACAAAACTAAAATTTTATATAAAATTTTTAATAAAATGGCAGCAATTTATAAAATTTAATTAAAATTAATAAAAAAACAGCAATTTAATGGCAGTGAATTATAAAATTTTACTTGACACAAAAAAAAAGTTTTTAATGACATTTTAAAATTAACCTAAATACACGTTGTGCTTCCAATACTGGTAGTACCGGTACCAGAATACCGGTATTACCGGACATTTTTAAGTACCGAAATACCGGTATTGGTTTGGCTCAATACCGGTATTAAAAATATATGTAGAGGGCTTATGATATAGCAGGTACTATCGCCCTCTTTAAGTGAAACACAAAAATAAATGAAAAACTTAAAACTTATAAAATATTTAATTAAAAATAAAACTTGTTTAATTTAAAAGTAAAATTTTGTCTTCCTACTATTATAATAGTTGATTTTGTACTCTCATAACAAGATAAACGAGCCCGGTGGGAAATTAGCCAATAACTAGCCAGTGAATAACTAGCTAGTTGCTACCTATGGGTAAAAGACACGTTTAAGACATATAAAATACATAGAATACTTGTTTTAGACGATTTAAACACGTCTTTTGTCATCTAGCTATCTTTTTCCTACATGAAGCGCTTTGATCGTGACTGGAAGTTTTAAGTATTTCATTTAAATTCGTGTTTTCATTAAATAATGAAGCGCCGATTTAAAATATTATCATTATGTCACTCGCTTTAATGTAGAACACATGTTTGAATTTTGCACTAACCTAAATATGAAAATTTTCCATAATGTAGAAAGTGGGGCGTTTAAGTAACTGTGATCAACAGTTGTGCATTAGGCATGGGATTTAACTAGGTATTCAAACGTTTTGTATAATTGAAAAAATGCATTCGCAAGTCACTGATTGCCCTTGAGTCCAAAGTTGAGGTAACTAATAAGGAGTTTGATGCAATATTAGCTGTTGACTTATGTCTTGCGCCAGTAAAACTGGCTGTGGAAACATTGTGGCGAAATTATGCAACACTGTTGTGAGCCAATACAACATTTTCATGATAGATAACCTTGAAGAAACCGATTTAGCTATAAAGTTATGTTGGTGCGACGATTCAATGAACAACGTACTCTTTTTCCAGCATACAATATTTTCTGCACAAGAGCCATCAACGTTACAAGAATTTGACTATCTTTTGAGCACCATAGCAAATTAGCCATTATAAATACCATTGCTGGACTGAAAGATCGGCTTAATCAGAAAGCGCATAGTTCTCTCCCTTTAACCAGCGTTTTTTCCGATAGTGATTATGTGGGCAACGCTGTAAACTTGTCATTGAAAGAAAAGCTTGACTTTGAAATTTTGAAAAATAAGAAATGTAACAACAAGGGAAGATTGAATGTTTCGAATAATTCATCCAAAATTATATGTAATGAGATGGCAGTTTTCGAAGAAGGAGGAAATCGTTTTATATATTTGTAAAATTCCTGCCATTACTTGAAAATTGTGAAGCCAACAAGTTTCAAATTGGACCGTGGATTTTTAGCAAGTGGTAACTGTCACAAAATTAGATGATCTCTTGAGGATGATATTCTGAATGCCCTATGTTTTTTACGGGCTCATTTTACATTGCAGAAAAAAGTGAAAAATGAAAAAGTCAGTATTTTGATATAAAATAAATAAGCTTATTGAATCAATGAAATTTTTATTATTTGACTTGATATAACTTTAGATTTTATTTATATTATGATAAATTTAAAAATAAAGTTTAATACCGGTATTATACCGGTATTACCTGTATTGAAATTATTCAGTACCGAAATACCGGTATTGAAAAATGATATAGGTATTGGAAGCACTAAATACACGATTTTCCTCTTAATTGAATAAATTCACTAACTTTTCATACTAATGATTTATATTTAAATGGGTCAGAAACATCATAATTTAATGATTTAAGTATGAAAATGATTTATGCACGAAATTGTGTTATTTAAGGGTACAAGATAAGATACAAGTTCCTTTAAAAAATCACTTGTCTGGGCTTTCATTATGTCTTAGATTGCGAGCTTGAATTACAGTTCATTTCAGAAACACCTTAAGTCACTGACTTATGGTGTTTCTCTATGAAACAGCTAATGCAGCCCCATCTAGAATCATAAATCATTACAAATAGAAGTTGCAAAACAATAATTGTTTTGGGAATTATTCCCTTAGAGATTAATTCAGTACAAAGAATTCTATAGTTTAATATAGTTGAATAGTTACAGTGAATCAAGTTGATTCACTTAATTTATGAGTTTTTCAGATTTTAATCGATTTAACAATGGAGTCTGATAACAACATCTATATACAAAAAAAAAAGAAAAATAGGAGTAAGATCTAAAAATGTAATATAGAAAGTTCGATGGAAGTCCCTAAATAAACTACGATGGGAAAGATATAACTGAAAGAAAACCTGGTAAAGATTGCAAGTAAGTTAATATTTGTTTTTGTTTTAACTGTTACTTATTTAACAGACAAGTAATATTTTCAACGCCCTAATAGCTGAACCTTTTTCTAAAAATTGTAGACATATATACCTTATAATATGATTTCTAAAATACTAGGGTTATCAAAGTTTTCTTGCAATAAAAAGTTGTTTAGGTCTGCAAAGGAAACTTACCTAGTATAACCAAAATAAGCTAAATTTTGTATGATCTAACTTAACCTAGAGTAAATTCTATTTTATCTATTCCTAACTGAAGTTTACTAAAATTTAACCTTTTTTCCTTGTCTTTAAATTTCTTGGAGTACACCTTACTAACTTATTTTCTTTTGCTTTTTTTAAGGTGCAGAAGAAAGTGTTTTGAAGTCATCAAAGAAGATGAATGATTAAGGGTATTCAACAAGTTTATTAGTCTCAAAACTAAAAACGAACAAGATTGCTATCTGCAGTCGTTAATGTGTACTGTTGAGCTTAAGCAAAGGAGAAGCTGTAAGCCCTTTATCCAGTCTTCAAAGCCAGAAAGAGGAGTAACATTTTTTTATGAAATATCAATACCTCTGGAAAAAAGCAGGTATGCAAATTGGCTATTATAAATATTCACTCTGTGACAAGTGACAGATTATAAAGGCTGGGCAACCTTTTGAATACAGGACAACTCTCTCGTGATGAACGTAGATGAAGTAATTTAGGAAATGCTAAACTTGAAAGTGTCATAAACATGGTGAAAGAACACATATCTGCTTATCCAACTAAAATGACTCACTATGGTAAAACTGAAAAACATTTTATTAATGAAAAACATTTTGCTTATGACATGCACAAGGCGTTTCAACAAAAGTATCCTGGAATCAATGTAAATTACAAATTTTATTTGAAAATATTAAAACAGCAATTTTCATTGAGGTTTGGATTATCTCAAGTTGACACATGCTGCAGATGTGATGAGTTATCTGTAACTCATCACATGTGCAGCATGTGTCAAAAATTTGCACAAAAATGTCAAGATGATGATAAAATAGGAAAGATTTGTACAAATTATATGCAAAATTTCCAACTTCCTAGCATACCAGTTCAAGAGACTTTTTACCTTAGGCAGCTGACCATTAGTGTTTTCGGCATACACAACTTTCAAGATAATAGTGTCAAATTTTTTTTGCATAATGAAGTTTTTTAGTCAGTTACTTTCCCAAAACTGTTGAATATATTCAGCTGTGTAACTGTATAAAGCAATTTTCCAATTCGCTATATAATTTAAAATTATTTTTCCAACTAATTCAACTTCTGTATTTTTATAGTGTGAAGTTTTTTTATTTAAGTTTTTATTTTTAGACTTTATATTAAATAATCTTATCTTAATCATTATCAGTAAAAGAAATCAAATGCAATTTTAGGCAACTTCTTTTAGGCTGTTGTCAAGATAACATATAAAATAAAATAATTATGAATAATTCGTAATGAGAGTCAGTCAGTATTTACATTTTTTAGGTGTATGGTGTTAATATCCAATTTTTGTGTTTAGAATGCAATTTATTTGTTTTGTCATAAACAATTAAACTGAATGTTAGACACATAAATAACTTCTCAAGTGCAGTTGAAATTTTGAACAAATATAAATCCTGGAGTTTTTAAAGATTTAATAAAAATCTTAATAACTACTAATACCAGCATTTAATGAACATTAACAACCTCTACGCAAAATTTTTTTTTAAAATCTGTTGCTATTCTTAACTGTTTTGACATCTTTTTTTTTTACTTAGTAATTTCACAATTATTTCAATTCTAAAAAAAAATTATAATTTTATTCAAACTTGAAAAATGCTTGTTACAAATATAAAACTCATATAATATATTATATTATTTGAGCATATTATATATTATTATATATACATATATTACTTGATATTAACTATAATTAATTTAACTATTAGTTTAAGTATTTAATAAAAAAATTACATTAAAAAAGGAAACTTTAATAACTGTATATAAACTCTTTATACAAACAAATATTTTCTAACATACCATCTTCTGTTATTTTTGTAAGATTTGACATTTTCATTAACAGTATTTGATTTGCTTCACCTTCACATGCTTGTGTACCAGAAACTAAGTAACATGTCATGGGAAACTAAAAATATATATATATCATGGGAAACTAAAAATATATATATAACATGGGAAACTAAATATATATATATATATATATATATATATATATATAAATATATATATATATACCTATAAATATATATATATACATATATACATATATACATATATATATATATATATATATATATTATTATAATATATATATATATATATATATATATATATATATATATATATATATATATATATATATATATATATATATATATATATATATATATATATATATATATATTTATATATATATATTTAACATCTTCGCTTCCAACAAGGCTGCAAGCAACCACTAATTAGTGTTGGAAGTTACTGGAAGAGAAAAGATAAAGATTGTAGAGCAAGATAACGATTGACAAACGACTTGAAAGATTACAAATTATATGAATCAGGAAAGCAAGATAAAGGAAGCAAATTCCAAAGAACTGATGTTCGAGGAAAAAAACTAGACGAATAAGAGTTTTTGGAGCACTTAGGAAGAGTAACAGAAAAAGGACAAGACTTAATTGAATGACGAGTAACACGTGAATAAATTTGAGTAGATGGTACAAGAGACGCTAGCTCTTTAGAGCAGTGCCCATTATAGTATTTGTAGAAAAGAGAAAGAGAAGCAACATTACGACGATGTGACAGAGGTTGAAGGTTGGCTGCAAGAGCATGTCCAACTATGTCTACAATGCCTTTTTGCACCTTGTCTAAAAGAGAAAGGGCATCATTAGAAGATCCGCCCCAGATATGGCAACAGTATTCCATACAAGGCCGGATTTGAGATTTATAGAGATAGAGAATAGAATCCAGATTAAGTAAGTGTCAAGCTCGATAAAGAGATGCAACTTTAGCAGATGCTAATTTTGCAACGGATTTGATATAAGGTTTCCAAAAAAGATCAGAAGTGAGAGTTAATCCTAAAAGATGAAGGGTAGATAACTCATCGAGTGCATTACTGTTCATAAATATAGAAAAGTCTAAATTATTGCGATAACGATTGGCTAAAAAAAATTGAGTTTTATCTGAATTAAAGTTCACCAGCCACTGTGAGCCCCATGCTGTAGCAGAAGTGAGATCTTTTTCAAGCTCAAATGCCTCCTGCAAGCAATCAGAGGGAGTTGGCATCTTATCATGACAAGAATAAATGGTAGTATCATCAGCGAACAATGCCACCTTAGATGTGAGAATATCTAGAAGATTATTTATGTACATTAAAAAGAGTATAGGACCAAGGATTGAACCTTGAGGAACCCCTGAGGTTACAGAATAAGAAGAAGAGTGCTGTCCATCAAGGACAACTTTTATACTACGATTGGAAAGAAAGGATTCAATAATCTTAAAGATGTTTCCAGATACACCGTGAGAAGAAAGTTTATGGAGAAGACCAGCATGCCAAACTTTATCAAACGTTTTAGAAATGTCAAGAGCAATAGCCTTAACCTCTCCACCTTTATCTAATGCACGATAAAACCTATCAGTTATTATTGTTAGCAAATCAGCCGTAGAACAACAAGATCGAAATCCATATTGATGATCAGAAAGTAGGTTATGAGATTCAAGATGAGAGATTTAATTAAAGATTCAAAAACCTTGCTTATGATAGGAAGAAGACTAATGGGACGGTAGTTAGATGAATCGGATCGCTCTCCAGAATTTTTAAAAATAGGGATAACAGATGCTGCTTTCCAGCAGGCTGGAAAACAAGACTCTGATAAGCACTTGTTAAATAGTTTTGAAAGGATAGACGACAGCTTCGGAGAACACTTCTGCAAGACTATAACAGGTATGTTGTCCAGGCCGCAAGCTGTAGATAAGTCTATGCAGGAAATCACTTTAGATACAGAAGCTGGAGTGATATGGATGTCAAGCAATGGATCAACCTGTTTGACGGCTATATCAGGTAGAACACAACTAGTGGAGTCAAGAGATGATATTGATGAAAAGTTCTTAGCAAACAATTCAGCTTTGTCTTTAGGTGAGGTGATAAAGTCTGAACCGTACAAAAGAGGTGGAATTACAGACTTGCCCTTATTATTGATACTATTAAAGATTCTCCAGAAGTCGCGAGAGCCTAATTTTTGTGATGAAATACGAGATTTCATGATCTGAGAATAGCGGTCTTTGGCGTTAGACAAAACCTTTTTACAATGGTTCCTAGCAGTAATAAACAGACATCTGTTTTCTGGAGAATTGTTTTGCTGATAGATATGGAAGTAATGGTTTCGATTGGTAATTGCAGCAGCACAATGCGAGGAAAACCATGGAGAAGAGTGAGGCTTGACCTGGAATGGTCGAGAAGGAATAAAGGATTCCATGCCAGCCTGAATCCACAAAGTTATGTAAGAAGCACATTTGTCAACAGGGAGACGAAAGATTTCTACCCAGAGACCATCACGAAAAAAATCACAGAAAGAGTCCCAGTCAGCTTTAAGGTAGTTGTAAGATGTACGATGATAGGGGGATTCTGATGATAAAGAAGAATGAGATAATAGTTTTAGAGAGACCAAACAATGATCGGAATCACCTAAGGGTGAGTGTGGAGAAACTGAGCACTGACTAGGATCAGAAACAAGACATAAGTCGAGTAGAGAAGGTAAATGATTTGGGTTATCTGGAAAACGAATTGGAAAGTTGACTAATTGAGTTAGGGATTGAGAAAGACAAAAGTTGTGGGCCTTAATGCCTGCTGAGTCACTGAAACTAGAGCCTAGCCATTCAGTGTGATGAACATTGAAGTCACCGACAACAACAATATTGGCTGATGGATAAAGAGAGAGGGCTTGGTCAATATGATCAGAAATAACATCAAGAGGAGTGCAGTCTTGAGATGAGTGAGAGCAATATAGAACAAAGAGAATAGTGATAGAGTGAAGTGGTGCTAAACGAAAGCACATAAAAGAGTAGTCTGTGGATTCAAACCTAGTTTCCCGACAAACGAGTGAATTCTTACGAATGTAAATACCCAGGCCAAGCATGTGACTATTGGAGTCTTTACGAATTAAAGGAAGATAACCATCAACACTAAGATTACAAGATGAGACAGCTGAACTCAAATTAGTCTCACAAAGAGCAAGTAGGTCTAGTGAACTTTGCAAGAGATAAGATTCAACAGAAGAAAAGTTACTTCAAAGACCACAAATATTAGTGAATGATAGGTTTAGCGAACTTGGTGATGACTGTGGTTTATTGTGTTTTATAGTCTTTGTTACTTTATTCATTTTTAGATTTGTTAAAGAACTTGACTCGAAGTATTGATAGTACTCAGTACACTGTTTTATAGCCCAAACAATTGCCTCATTTCCATTAATAAACCCTAAGCTGTAACAAAGGGCTCCAATGTGGCCTTGGCAATGCACACCAAAAGTACAAACAGGGACACCATCCATGCGCAACATGGCACTGTTAGTACTTTGATATTTTTCAGCTGTTGATGGAATCAGCCTCTCTGAGAGCTACCACAGAGTTCAGGAAAGCTGACTACCAGCTGGCCTCAGAACCATAAAACTGAGTTTTAGAACTGTACCCTTATTTGGAGATAATAGAATGAGTTGCCTAGTCATAAAAACAGAGACACAAGCAAAACCCATGTATTGAGTTAAGAAGATCCAGCGTTCAACATCCTAAACTGGAAACAATGTTTTAAAAATACATCTGCGCCAGCCTAAAAGATGAAGAAGGGGTGCAAGGCTGGTCAACAGATAGAATCTGTTTACCCCTTAAGTATTTGCCTAGGAGGCCTTCTACAAGACAGTAGCCGGATGCATGTAACATCTGCCCAAGATGAGTATTTTTATCGAGACACCATCTCTAGCCTTTACTCAACCAAGAGCCCCAAAGCAGGGGGTGTTTTATGTCAGGGTTTGCATCTCCTAGCCTTTGCCTAAAAAGGCGTATCCTACAAGGCAGCAGGACATGAAGCAAATATATATATATATATATATATATATATATATATATTATATATATATATATATATATATATATATATATATATATATATATATATATATATATACAAACACACACACAAATATAAAGGCACACTTAGATTGGTAATCTGACATCATACTTATTTATTTCAATAAATATAGACTGAAATTTGGAGGACTTGATATTGGGTTTGGGTTGGGGAAGCAATAAGTTTTTTTCATTATTTTTTTTTTTTTTCTTCTAATTTTTGCAAAAAAACTATATTAAATTTAGCCCATGTATAGCATTATGGGCTATACTACATATAACAGCTGTTCAACAAAAATTGCTATTACTCTTTAAGTTTTTAAGCTACAAATTAAATAGAAATATAGGTTTTTTTTCATTTATTTTTTTATTATTTATGTTTCAATATTAAATTTCTTCTATCCAGTCTATTACTTTTAATATTTCCATTAGAATCCATAAGGATGTATATATATGTATATATATACATCCATAAAGAATGAGTTAACTTGGCTAGGTTAGTAAGTCACAGGGGTTGAAATTTGACTAGGGCCAGGGCTGGATTTGATAAAAAATAGCTAAAGCTGGGTTTGTGACAGGGACTGCATAAGCATTGATACATCCTAGAAATTTTTTTTTTAATTTGAAACTCATGTTATATTTTATACATATGTGCATGTATGTTATTTGTAAACATTTTTTCTTCTATTTTGACTCTAGAATCTAATTGCCATACTCTTCTTGCTATTCCAGTTAAATGGATTAACGCATTATTAGACATCCAAATCACTTATGTTTCCAATGCTAAAGTCAATTAATAATTAAAATCTCCTACGGCTTGTGGTTCAAACAACATTTCTATCATATTCTTACAATAGCATTCAGTTGTTTAAAAACTCTCAAAAAACTATGACCTCCATAACTATCCTATAATTAGACTTCTCTCTATTATCAGTTTCTTTTTATAAAAGTTTTCAGATTTGTTAAAATGTTAAATTATTTCTGTTTAAGTGCAGTGTTAAAGTCATTTTCAAAGACCTACACTCTTTGTCTACACTGAATCTTTGTCATTTTAGGAATACCACAAATCTTTGCTCCTGTATTGTTCTTTATTTACAATAACAATCTTCCTGACAATCTTACATCTAAATTAACTCTATTTGCTGACAACTCAACTTTATACTCTTGTCTTGACAAAAATTTGCCTTCAAAAATATCAACATTGTATTTAAAAACTGTAAGTTTTTGAATTTAATGCTTAAACAAAATATAATTAGTGTAAAAACTGTATTGTTAGAAAGACTTATGTTAAAAAACTGTATTGTTGGAAATAGAAATCAATCTTATTATGTTAAACCCCACAGCAGAGATTAAAGTAGTTATCTTTTTAAACAACATTATATTTTCGCCAAACATTTTTTTTAAGATTTAAGATGCGAAAGACTTAAAAGTAAAAATAGTCAATGCAAATTGTCTCAAAAACGTTAAATCTTCACGATTTCTGTTTATTTCTTGAATAAGTTAAAAAAAATATATATCTATTATTGTATCTGTTGGTAGTTAAGGATTAAGTTTTTCGGTCACTATTAATATTAAAACATTTTTTGTCATCAAAAACTTTCAAACACCTGGAGAATTGGTTACGAAAAAGTTTATTTTGCTATGGTTATGACAACTTATTTTAACCTAAGTCTTTTCAATATCTTATTGAGATATTGCTTTCGAATCAATAAATTATTGTGAATATATTATTGCTTTTAAATCAATATATTATTGTGAATATATTATTGCTTTCGAATCAATATATTATTGTAAATTTATTATTGCTTTCGAATCAATATATTATTGTAAATTTATTATTGCTTTCGAATCAATATATTATTGTAAATTTATTATTGCTTTTAACATTATTAAAAGTATGATCAGATTAGCCTTGAAAATAAAAACCTAAAATTAAAAACCTCTAATTCTGTGAATCAATTCACAAAAATCTCACAAATAGTTTGTTCCTTTTTATTAAATTTTTTGCTATTTATTTGTTTATTTACTTTAAATTATATTAAATATAAGACATTTAAAGATCATTGAATATCATAAAAAATTAAGTTGTTGATCTATGAGTTATTTACCCATTCTTTTGTTAATATTTTAAAAATTTATTGAAGGAAAAATGGCTCTCTACTAAAAACTGGTTGCCAACCCCTGGCTTAGAAAAAACAACCGATCTTTATTTTGATCTGTAACAGCTTAGGACATGCAGTGGCTGGTGTATTTTAACTCCAAACTCAATATTAACTGCAAACAACTATCACAATATTGTTGACATTCCTATATTGACGAATAACTACCCTCAACTTACATACAAAGCTGTTTCAGATTTCTTCCTTGCCAGTTCTTTGCATAGACCATTCCATAAAAACTTGACTGGACAATATATTGCTATCAACTTTGGCCGCATAATTTATGGAATTCTTTTCAAAATTTGTTTTCTAGCAATAAAGCTATGTCAGGCCAAAATAAGCATTGGTCATTATTATTCTTTAATAAAAGATTAATAATATATCCAATAAATCAAATCAGCTAATAAATCTAAATATGGTTTTAACAACTCTTTATTAAAAATGCATTAACACAAAATTATTTTTTGGTAAATATTTGCAGTTTTTCTAATTTTAATCTGAATTTTTCTATTTTAAAGTGGTTCAAAGTGAACTTCTTTCCACAACATTGATGTGATAAAAAAGTTTGTAAATTTATTTTCTGTTAGCTTCTTGTTTTGAAGTCATTTTCTTAGAAATGTATAACTTTTTTACAAAATGTAATATATATTTTTAAAAAAAGAATATAAAAAATTTTTTAATGTTTTTAGACAGTTTTTTTAGAGAAGAAGAAAAAAAAGAATAATAAGCTGCTCAAACTCTCAGAAAAAAAATTCAGTTACCAAGCCTAAGGTCTTTAAATTTGAAACTCACTAAATATTTAGTACTTTATAATATGTGGAACAGATCATAGGTATTAAGTATTGAGTAGTAAAGATTCCTTAGTTTTTTACTAAATTGAGAGCATAAAGAAAATCTAACTTCAGTAAAAATTAAATTTACGCAAATTAAATAACAAAATAATGAGATCTACCTGAGTTCTATTTTCCCCAAGTTTGTCATTAATAACATCAAAGCTTAAACAAGGCATTCCAGTCTGTGCCTAAAAATTTAACATTATGGATATTAACTTTTGATTTTCATAATACAATGTTGAAAAAATTGCATAAGGCTATTTAATTATTTAAACTTAATACTATTAAAACTGTTTAAATTTGTTTAGCAATTTAAAATTTACCCTAAGTTGCATAAGATATAACATCTAATAAAACATCATAAATAAAAATAATAACTTACTGCATGGTACATATGATATGCTGTTTTATCAAATGTTAGTTCTTCACCATCTTCGAGAGGTTCTCCAAGGTATATTTTCTAAACATTTATTTAAGTTACCAAATAACCTCTACATGAATATTACATAGAATATAATAATAAACATTGTACATAAAATTGAAATTGATACTTCTTTCACTTGTTCTTTGTCATCATCATTATCTATAAAACAATTATTTTTTTGTTAAATTAAATTTTTTTTTTTTTTAATTTATTTTAGTGAAATTTATATTTAGAAAAATTATAAAATCGAAGTCTTCAGTTAAAGTTTCTTGACTTAACAAATCCTTCTATAAAACATTACCATTTTAATAAAATGAATTATGTACGCAATTTTTTTTTAAAAAAAAAGGCCATTCTTAATTTAGTTAAAGTTGATGATCTATATTATTGTGACTAGATTTTCAGATAAATATTTTGTCATTCCATGACTGCCATAAGCTATGCTAATGAGAAATGACTGCCATAACCTATGCTAATGAGAAATGACTGCCATAAGCTATGCTAATGAGAAATGACTGCCATAAGTTATGCTAATGAGAAAATCTCAACAAATAAATTTTTTTAACTATGATCTTGAAAAATTAAATTCCAACAAAATATGTTTTAATAGTAAAAAGACTGAGTTAATTTACACTAAGGTTTAATTTTACTCAGCCTTATTTATTCAGTCAAATTATCTTTAATAAGAGTTTATGCAATTAGAGATGTTTTATACTTTCTTTAAGAAGTTGTTTATTAATACTATTATAAAAGTACAAAAACTATTTTTTTTAAATTTCAAACATCTTGATAAACATTATTCACCTTAATGAAGTCAAAAATAATTTTATCAAAACTATCACTATTAAAAATCTTGAAATGATTTCCAATTTGAGTCAACTATTTCTATAGATCATTCAGGTCATATTTTAAAAGTCAACTATTTCTAAAAGTGCATATGATAATAAACTTTGTAGGGAACTTTTCAGAAAGGTGTGTTAACAGAGCAGCTAAAAATCCTGCTTCTTTTTTGAATGCAACTACTCTTTGAAATAAAAATTGAGTTTATGGTTAATTAATTGGCAGTGCGTAATATGACAAACTTCAAAGTGATCTTCTCAAGGAGCTATGTCAACAGACATTCTTAAGTATGATCAACCTGATAAAGTCTATATCACCATGTATAACAGCAATAAATGGAATTATTGATTTGTTTGAATGGTTTTTTGAAGCATCTCAAAAAATGGTTTAGCAAAGAACTTCTGTTTGGCAGGCAAAACAGGGTTTTGAGCCATGATTTTTAGTTTCTGCACGCATTTTTTTCATAAATCAGCTTGTTAGCTTTTCTAACTACTAAAATTACTGAAAAATATTATAAACTTTTAATATTTATCAAGGACTGATTCAACTCTTATAAAACAATTTTTATTTTCACAACACCTATGCCAACAAAACTGCATTGGATAATCAAATGTTCAAATAATGTTTTCATAGTTTACTCAACAATTTCGTGTAGCACTTATTTAGCTTCCACTCACTTGCTATTGCCAATGCTTAAAAACTGCAATGAATTATGTGGAGAATACAGGTTCCAAATCTGCAAGTGGATTAAGTTTTTCTTTTTTCTCTTTTGTTCTATCTGATGACACCAGTAAAATCTTTGATTTATTTTAGAAATACAGTTTAAAAATGTTTGCATAAACATTAGATATAGTTGACCGTCCCATGAACTCTGATTTAAGATAACAAGTTTTAACCATAACAACTTTGTCATCCAAAAATCAACTAGAAGGTCCCTTTTACCTTTTTAACGATTCATTTTGAAAAAAAAGAAGCAAGCCAAAATATTACAATATAACTGGCCTTAGTGGGTCCACGTTGAAACAACTTAGCAATCAATAATTTTCTGGAATAAAATAAAGAATTTATTTAATATTTAAAATAAACAATATTAGGCATTTAAAGATATTCTGTTTCAAGGATGTGTTTATCAACATTTTATCATTATTTTTTAGTGTTCTGCTTGATTTGAGCATTCTGACACAAGCTTAAAATAAAATAGCACCCTCAAGACTTGATGAATGTCTGAGGAAATGCCTCATTTATCCAATTTTGTTCAAAATTATTGACTTAGTAATGATTTTTGGAGGTAAAATGAAGACTGTGGCCCAAAACTCCAAGTAAAAAGTTTAATTATATATCAATTAGGTTTACTGAAAAAAATTAGATTCATCAATTGTCTATCTACTTGATCAAAATTTGCTTTTAAAAATAGTCTTTTTAGAAAAATTTAAATTTTGTAACAAAAGCAATTGAATTGTTTCATAAAACATTTATTTGAATAAAACATTAAATAGTGTTATTTATTGACTAGCTTAGGACATTTATATTATTGTAATCATGGGCCAAGGGAGGGCCAGAAGGGTCTCTGACCAACTTTGCCCCCACCCACCCACCGCCTGTTCTTTCTGGATTTTTTTATTTTTTTTTTATTTTTTTATACATAATATGAAATAATAATAAATAATTATTAAAATTCAATTTAGAAACATAATTTTTTTTTTTTAAGTTTAAGTTTGAGAAACAATTTATTTTCATTAATTCAATTCAAAACAGTGAATGTTTACCTCTTATTATATCAAAAACAAACAAAAGTTTTGTTTTGTTCTTTTTAAAGGTTTTACTTTACTTGTTTGTAATTTCTTAAGGAATGATTGTGAATTTTATTATTTTTGTATTTTTTGGCAGGTAATATTATATATAATAAACATATTTAATATGGAGAAATGTGATATTAGAAAAAGTCTTAACATTGAATGCTACAAAACTGGATTTTCTAGAAAACAAGATTTTGTCCAATTCAAAGATCTTCCTTGTGAAACAAGAAGAAATAATATGGCAAGCAAACTTAAAGGAAAAATATTGTTCAATAAGAACTATATGTTGTTATCATGAGCAATTCTATGGTAAATATTTTGAGAGAAAAATTACAAAGTGTCACAATCCTTTTGGAACACACAAAGAAAGTAAAAAAATTGCTATAAAAGGTAATCTAACATTAATTACAACAGAATTGATAATGAAATTAAAAGAAAAACAATTTATTATTTATAAAAAATTTTATATTTTCAGTTATTTTAAAAACTTAAAACTAAATTTGTTTCTTAGGCAATATAAAGATTCCACTAAACTTGGCAAAATTTTTGCAAGAAAATAATGTTTATGCAACCCCAGGTTGGAAATCTTGCAGTAAATGTTACAAAAAAGCAGTAGAAACTGATGAAGATTTAAATTCACAGGAGGAATGGGAATCAAAAGGTTAGAAAAAAATTAAGTTAAATACCACTATAGAATTGATTGGAATTTCACCAGTCAAACTAAAAAGCCTTTTAAAACACAGCAAATTGCCTGCAGCAAAACAAAAGTTTGAGAACAATATTGACAGAGTTGCAAAAATGGTCTCATTAGCATATAACATTAAAGAAACTTCTTTAGCAACAGAAATAAAAAGCCCCATTTCAAACAACAACATTAACAATGACCATGATCTAGACATTTTAATGTATGAAATTAAAAAAAAAATTTCAGAGACTGATTCTCATCGCTATAAGATGCAAACGTTAACACTCGCACCAAAATCAAAGATATCAAACAACTTTAAAGTGTCTGAGTATCTTGTTTGAACTGCAAGAAAAGTTAAAAATTAGCATGAAATTTTATCATTGCCCAAAAAAAAAACTGGAAACCTACTTTCACCAAAAACAGTTAATTTAGTGATTAACTTTTATCAAAGTGATAAATTTTCAAGAATGGTGCCAGGGAAAAAAGATTATATAAGTGTTAAGAAAAACCAACATGTTCAAAAAAGATTATTGCTACTCAATCTTAATTAATTGCATGTTGCATTTAAAAAGACTACCTTAACATCAGAGTCAGTTTGTCAAAGTTTTGTACTCTTAAACCTAAATGGTGCATTAAAACTAATGTGTCAAGTACTTATAATGCATGTGTATGCATACATCACCAAAATACAAAATTTCTCATTGATGCCATAAGTTGGAATTAAAATTATAAAGATTTCATGGCATTGATTGTTTGTTCTCCTGAAAATGCAGAATATATAATGCATCAATATAACCAATCCCCTGGTATGAAGCATTAAAAGGTTTTTTAGTGCAGGAGTTTATAGGCCATGAGCTCAAAGAAGATGTAGCATTCAAGCTATGGCAGAGTACCAATCGTATAACACTACTATTACAATCACTGCCACTTGATAAATTTAATGATTTATTATGTGAGAGCATTGACAACCTTACCACTCATTCATATATTGCAAAAACATAAAGTAGATACTTAAAAAATTGTAAAGAAAATCTTAACCAAAACGAATGCTTAATTTTAGGAGATTTTGCTGAAAATTATCAACATGTTGTTGACAAGGTTAAAAGTTATCACTGAAGCAAAAGTCAATGTTAACTTTTTACAATTGTACTTTATTTTATAGAGAAAAAAGTTCTCAAACATAAACCTTTTTGTTACCTTTCAGAAGATGTTGATCATGACACAGGATTTATTTACAAGACTCAGGAAGATATAACTAGATATATCAAAGAAAACCTACCTGATGTATCAAGTGTGAAGTACTTTTCTGATGATTGTGCAGCACAATTTAAAAATTTTAAAAACTTTATCAATCTTTGTCATCACACTAAAGATTTTGATTTAAATGTTGAATGGGTATTTTTTGCTACCAGTCATGGTAAATCGCCTTGTGATGGTATTGGTGGTACTGTTTAAAGAGTAGTATGTCAAGAAAGTCTATAACAAATAACTATTGGGAAGATTTTAGATGTTAATTTAATTTGCTCATTTTGTAAAGCCAAGAATTTGTTTTAAATTATTTTCTAAAGATAAAATCAACAGATAAACATGAGCACAATCAGAAAAAAGATATTTAGGTGGAAGAACATTTCCTGGCACAAGGATATATCATTGTTTTATTCCAATTGCTTCAAACACTATAACTTATAAAAAAAAACAAGTATTAATACATGTATTAAAATATTTTATATCATTCCAAAAAGCAAACATAATAAGAAGATTTCATTAAACATTAAAAAAATGGATTATATTGCATGTTTTTATGACAGATTTTGGTGGGTAGGGATTCCTGAAGATGT